AAGGCAAATAGTTAACTTTGCTCGAGATGAGATAGTGAATCCGCTTTTTACTTTAAGTTAAGCACCTGTATAAATAGAACGGAACGCTTTAAAACAACGTTAAAGTGCTGGTAATTGCTGAAAAGAGCTGATAGACAACTTATATTTTAACTGAATTATATAATTAAGGGCAATCTAATAATAAAAATCTTTGCTGTCGAAGGCTTCATTATATTTTCAACTCATATTCACGAAAAGAAAACTTTGAGACTTTTATTCAGTAAAAATTATTGATTAGCTGCTTTAACCACTATTTCTCTAGACCTATTAATAACTAGTTGAATGTGTGTGCAACCAAACAAAGCCTTTTTAGCTTAATTACTTTTTATAAAAAAATTTTAAGGAAAATTCTTTTCCTTCTGCCCCGGAAAGATTACATAAATTACTTGCGTTACCTTGAGCAACATTTTACTCACTTTATGAAAACAAGGTATTCGGGGAAAACACCTTATAAAAAAGATTACTGTCGTATTACACCTCTCCATCTTTTAATCTTTTCTGAAAACTGTTCCGCTAGCGAAAAATGTCTACTAATATCTTATTTATTTTAAGTCTCTTTGAAGAATTAGGAGGTTCTAAAAGATCTACCCATTATTATTAAAAGCTTTTGAGTAAAAAAATACCCCCTGGTTATATTTTGTGGTTTAAACTAATTCTAATTAAAAATAATTTGGATATAAAAAATATTTCTAGGTTGAGGGAGTTACATACTAATGTTATAAAGTATTCCATTTTGCACGGTACCCCGAATAATTTCTACCAAAGCAACAGCTCGCTGACTAAAACGTAGTCCAGAAGCTTTTGTACTCGCTCTTAAATGTTTAGACACGCAAATACAAAACTTATGCTGCATAATTTAATGCTGGAACTTCACAAAATTTTATTAGAAGCCCGCTTTACACCCAAATTTTTTATTATATCTACTTTCTTATAATAATAACTATCCCGGCGGCTAAACTTCTAACTCTTTTTGTATCAATGGACATGACCTTTTTCCTGAATTACACGAATTCTTTTTCAAATAACTTGTAAATGCAGATCAAAGTCAATTAAAGAAGAGCCTCCGTGTAGATCTTAGAATTCAGACATTTTTTTTTTAAACCACAAGAGCATTTCTCGTTTTTATACGCATATAAAGCTTTATTATTTGAAAAGAACTTTTTTGTTAGGTCTTCTTTGTATATTAAAAAAAATTCTGATAGTGGCCTTTAGGGGGCATAAAATCATTTATTAAAGTGTTAAGTTTGACGCAAACTAACGAAAGATGTTTATACAGTTTATCAAGCAGAAGTACGAGTTGTCACTGTGGCTAAGTAATTGGAGCGTTAATGCGTAAAATTAATGTCAGGGAGGTCCAGACATATATATATTCTAGTAATGGCACTCTTCACACAGTACTATACCATACTACCATCCTACTACCGCACTATACTCTGGAAGACAGCACTTATTACTTTAGCAAAACAAGAGGAGCCAAAAAGTAGCTGTATCAGAAACTTCTTGGCCTTGGTGGTTACGTGTACGTCTTTTTTAAAAATAAAATTAGTACTAGATAAAAATCATCTATTATCATTCTCATGAAGAATAGCAATCTAAACTTCCTAACTAAAAACTAATTGTAGTACGGATTTTTTTTTAAAACTAAAAAAAAATTGCTATCTAACTTTTGTTGCAGGTTAATTTAAGATGTTCGGAACCGACGGCTGCAATTGCAAAAGAGGGCTTCTAAGAGTTTTCTGAGAGCGCGAACCTGTAAATATATACATATAATAAAATACAAGAAAAATATGTACCTGCCGATTTATATAAACGATCCAAATTAAATTAATATACAGATGCAAGCAGTGTATAGAATGCGCGTAATTATGACAAGTGTAACTAATAATAATTAAACTAATAGATATTTACAATTACTAAAAAAAAATTATACGGTTATAACTAGGAGTTGTTAATAGTTCATAAAGAGCAATAATTTTTTGAAATATGCTTGTCAAGTTAAAAAATTTTAATTAAAGCATTAACTTACAAGTATATATATATATAGTATTCTGAGTGTAAGTTCATAATATTTTCTTTCGGCCCCAAAATAGTTCGCGATAACTGTGAGTCTTTTAAAATAATAGCAAAAACAACCAAAACCGTTAAACATAAAGATTTAGATAAATAAAAATAAAAATTAGATATTTGCAAAAACTACGCCTTAAAGAGTAACAAAAAAATAAATTGGTTACAATAGTATAAACTAGTTTTCATTTTATTAACCAAGATGAGGTTAAAGATAAGCTTTCGGAATTCTTGGGATAATTCTATTTTAATAAGTTATAGATTGAATTTTTAAAATTTTACCTGGTATTTTAAACTTAAAAAAAAGTTGGAACGAAGAAGCTAGAAATTTTTTCTAGAGATTTTTAGATAACTCAAAATAAAAATCAACTTATGATCTGGTAGTAGCCAGAAACGGCTGGAATGCTCAGTAGCTTTCCTGTAATTATAGTTTAGCCGAGTGTACTTCGGCTTTAAAAGGGTATATAATGTAGCAAACACATACTTCCAGCTCTTAGTTTAAATTTCTAGCGTCGTGGGAAATCTAACAGTGTCTAAAAAGCGATTACAATTTATATTTTAAAAATTAAAAAAGTTGACCCTAATAATTAAAACACCGTCATTTAATATGACCGTTAGGAACGCCAGTATTTGTGAAACATGCATAGACCTATTTAAGGGAAATTATAACTGTAATTATAAAAACGTTTTATTGGTTCGAGATATATAATTTATGACGCGGACTTACACTCGTTTATAGGAGATCACGACACCCCGGACGTAGAGAACTTCTTTGCTCATTTGTAAATCAAATTAAGCAGTATATTAGGCCTCTTCCATTCTTGGCCTGCCCTAGTTTATCTACTTTATAAATAAATAGTTATAAATTATTTTTTTTATTACATAATGGTACTAGAATTATCAATGCAGATATTATATATATTTTTATTGTACTTATAATTATGACGTTACCTTCTTTTTTATTATGTTTACTATCCAGCTGTGTATATTAAGAGCATCTTAATTTGCGAAGCAATTCAATCAGTGGTGGAAAAATTGATAAAGGAGGCCTGTAGCAAGCCAGTGCTATAAATTAATATGCTAAAGCAAACTACAAGTTTATAATACCACAAATCTAATATACGCTTATTAAGTTGAAACTACTGACGTCTCTTAGTATAATTACGCCAAATAGGAATACATTTTAATATAATTTCCGAAAATTGAAATCCCTCTTCACTAATTATTTAAGGTTCCAATGAAAACATTTAAGGCAGTGAAGGTACTATGCAAATTGACGTAAAGCAGAAAGAAATAATACATAATAGTAATATTCTGCCAACCTTTTAAAGCCAACAAATAACCGCTATTATCAAAGGACTATAGTGACGTTTAAGACAAAACGAAGTAACTCTTATTGAACGGAATGCCAAGTATAACAATATATACGAATATGTGATAGAAAAATTTAATTTTTTTAATTCGATTCTTCTTTCACAAGTCATAAGGAAAAAAGTGCAACCAAATACAAGTGAATGTAATATGAACTTAATGAGTTAAAGTCACTGCAAAATATATATTATATGTAAAGAAACCATTTTTGCAAGCTAAATTTTTTTGTATTTTACAGCACGCTGAGTTTAAAACAATTTTTCCGAGCTTATCATTAAAAACCTTCAAATTATGTATTTTTCTTTTACACCGACATACCGGCTAAGTTACTTAAGCTTCTCTCTTTGTTTTTCTATTATATTGATATTGTGCTCTTATAAAATTCTTTTAAAAGATGAGTTTAAAACCTTATTCAGAGTTAAGTTAATGGGCTCCAATTTTTAATAATTAACTATATTTGTGTATTTGTATGCTTCTCTCACGTAGTAATGTTTTTATGTTCAGCTATATTAAAAACCTTTCTTAAGAATAGTTTTGTGCTGTTACTGAACTCATTAGTTATAAAAGAAAAAAATCTCGTAAGTAAAATCTTGAATTTTTTTTAAAAAAATATCTTCTTGTCAAGCGGTCAAGACATAAAAATATTTTTTACTCTGCGGAGAAGTTCATAAATTTTTCCTCAGCAGGATTAAAGACAGGGTTTACTAAAAAGGTTCCACTTTTCTTTTTTTTTTGCTGTGGCTAGTCTTTTCCGCTTGCTTTCCTCCTTTTTTACGATAATAAACTGCCAACACACTAAAGATGAGAATTATTGTGGCCGTCGGACAGAATATAACTATTGCAATTTTTAGCTGATTACGCAACCTTACAGTTGCCATCACCCGCTCCAAAAAATTTATGTAGGTGTTATGTTACTACCTTTGAAAAGAAAGAAACCCTTTTAGTATTTTTATCTTCCTTTTCTAAAGATCTCTGCCCAGCAATAACCTTAAAAATATCGTCTTAAAGTAACTACTACTGGTTATAATAAAAGTATAACAAAGTATTCTTTAACTTCACCTTGGATTAAATGACGATTCTATTTAAAGACACTTCTCATTCTTACCTGATTTATGTAGTTATTCATATTACTATTTTTATTATATTAAACAGAGTACCTGATTTTTCATTTTACTATTATCTTCTATAGTGTTAATTCTCATTAGTTAAACTTTTAGGTCCTTTTAAGCTCTTATCATTCTTTATTTGGGTCCATAAATATAAAGTTACACCGTTAAGAATAAATTAATCTTTATTAATTAAACAATGCTCTTAAGTTACATTTTACTTTATTAACAAGTTACTCAGGAGCTCTGAAACATTTAGTTACAAAATCGTTAGTTGAGAAGTTACCACTCTGTTATGACTATTAAAGTAGGTTACCGGCAGTTAAATGATAGTTTTAATACATGTACTTTATATAAACTTTTGTAATTGTTTAAAAGAAAAATAGGTTTATTACTCATAAAATTCTTTTAATACTAATTTTAAATTACTTTTGAGGCATTTATTACCATACTAATATTTACTGAGTAAACAACTTGTGCTTCGTGGGGAGTAAAAGGAGTCAATAATACTGTTCCATTGTGGCTCGCTAAGTGATTAGTACTGCAGCTCTTTGCGGAAAAATTAGGAAACGTCTTAAGTGCCCCGTTGTGGGTGCACAAGGGACTGGAAAAGTTTAAAAAGCCATATATGGCACGCGAGCAACAAAGAAAATTTTTATTCAGCCTGATAACCCTTATTAATATATGTTACTTCACGTAAATATGCATGAAAAAAACGTATTTACTTACAGGTGGTTAAAATTAAAAGAGCTATTGAAAGCGTTAGGCCCAATATCGGTAATAGCATTATTATTAAGATTCCTTATTAATTTTAACATAACACACAATTATATGACGATTAAGTAGAACATTTAAAATATTATGGCTCCTAATAAAGTCATATAAATCGTAATTTTTTTTACAATAAATTGTATTTATAGATGAGCACAACCACTTACAAGAAGGTTAGCTTTCCTAACATAGAAAAGGCATTGGTGGGGATTGATTTGATTTCATTATTATACAGATGTCTGTAATGGAAGTTTAAGTAAAACCGTAAAAGCGTTCTTTTTTCAATTACAATAAAACCAATTTTCGCACATTGGTTTAACATATGAGAACATTAAAAATTGAAAATAAGTAAATTTGCATAACAATTGGACAAAGTAAAAAGATGTGGAATTACAAAAAACTAGGTCCAGCATTTTACCAATTAAAGTATGGCGTTCCTCTCAAGTTTTACTAACTTCATAAATTTACCAATTATTGCTAGCTAAAACTTAAAGCGAATCCAAAATTATTCTACCAAAAAAGTTTTGTATAGTTTTTCTTAATATAATAAAAACATTTTCAGCAAAATAGACTAAGCCTACTGGACTTATTTGTTATATTCTTTTAAGAGTACCTTCATCCCCTTAAAACTGTTATTTAAAGAAAGTTAAAATCTCCTTCTTATCTTAGAAAAATAAATTCAGTAATTAGAAGTATAATAAAGTAAAAGATCTGTATAGTGGTAAAAAGTAAGTTTATCTACAAGAACCTATGAATACATTATTAAAGCTAATTACTTTTTTATTTAAGCTTATATAATAAGATATATATTAAAACCATCATAATAAAAAAATTCAGTGATTAATAATATTATGCTCAGTAATTTAGGATATTTTTAAACTTGAGTATTAAAAAATTTTATGCAAGAAACTTACAACTCTTGTAATTTATGTAATCCCTTAAACGTTTCCTCACTTATTTTAGTCAATTTATTGTGTTGTAAACTCCTTTTAAAATTTATAAATAATGAGTAATATAGAAAGCCTTACTTCACAACTAAATGCCGTAAACTCAGTTTTAAAAATCATAAAACTGGACCACATGTATTTAATGTATTCTAAATAAGCTAATTTAAGGAATATAAATTATTACAAATTTATCAACGCCGTAAGGCCAGAAAATGCGGAGTCAGAAACTGATTCAATAAAGCACCCATATAGGTGCCTAACCAAATATTATAACAAAAAATTATTAATTTAAAATACATAGCATTCTAAGTAAAAATGGCTGGGGAAATTATTGTTTGTTACTATCACAGCTATATTTATGTAAATATACATTTTTTAAGAATAACACTATTTTACTTAGAAACTCTTTATCACTATAAGATTTTTTAAAATTTAGTCATCAATTAAAGTAACTAGGTTTACATTTAACTCTTTAAATGTTTTTTAAGAAAAATTATTAAACCGTCAAAAAGATAACTACTGTACACGAATCAGAAACTAAATTTTTCGAATATTGTTATTTATAGGGGTGTCACTATATAAACTAAAACACTGACCTCGATATCTTGATCTATAAGTCATGGTTTATTAGTTTTAATATCGTTATTACATAGTCAGTTATCGAGCATTATCATGATTAAACAATTTTGTCAGTATTTGCAGAGTACTAAGAATATAATTATAAATTGGCATTAGATTATAACTTACAATTCAGTAATGTGTGTAAGCTCTTTAAGAAATTGGCCATTCACTGAATTAAGTTGGTTATTTCCTAAACCTCTGAATTTTTAAATGATATATAATGTTGATGATTTTAATAATATATTTGCGGTGAACTGTAGTCTTTCGTAAATATTAAATTTAAACTACTTTTCAAAGCAACTTAAAAAGCAAAAGAATATGATACTTAGTAGTTTATAGTATTTATATTAATCACTTACAAATACGTTATTTTTGGTAAACAAAAATACGCACAATAGGGCATCGTAGTAAGTCTGTTATTGTGAAGGGATCTATGCGTGGTAATAACATGTTAAAAAGGGCTAATATAGATACGTGTAAAGTTAGTGCTTTATCGAAGTACTTCATTTATGAGTTCAGCAAACCAGACAAATAGCATTTACATTTGAACGAAAAACAACATTACAATCTTTTATATCTCCTAATAACATCTGTAGTGTTTACCTATATAACTATATCCTACAACTTCTAACTATCAGAGCAAGTTAAAAATTAATTAAGGTATTGGAGATAGTTATAGGGCTCGATGGTTTTGTTAAAGAAAAGAAGTTATAACCCTTACAAAGTTAAATTTTAGTAGGCATAATTATATAGCATTTTTAGTCTATTAATGCCTTATTTCTTAAAAAGGTTTCTCTTTTCTATAATCATTTACTAATATTATTCTCTGATCCCTCAGTGATAGAAAGATAGAAGTTTAAAAAGGTAAAGATATTATAGTTCACGAAAAAATGGCACTTACAAATAATTTAAATGATTTAAATTAACAAAAGCCATCTCTTCAATATTTTCAATGCTATTATCATCAAGATACCTGTATTGGTAACTTTTATAGTAGTCGTCGGGCGCTATACAATACAAACTAGCTTAAAAATTTCATTTAGCTAGCTTGTGGTACTTTTTAATGAAGGACTACTGGACATCCTTAATCTAAAATGACATTTTGCTTAAAAAACCTTTTGGAACTCTTCTTCGGCCATAACACCCCATACAGTTGACCATTAAAAGGTATGAGATAAGCACGCAAAAACTTACAAACGTTCTAGATTTTCAAGACCCTCAAACATATTATTATTGATCACTTTAATCATGTTTCCAGCTAAAATCCTTTATATTAAAATGAGATATCTTTTAAAAGCTACTTCCAGTCTATACAAAGTTTTTATCTCTAAACTAATTTGTGTAGGCCGACTGTTATGATGTCAATGTAATTAAAGGTGCTAAAATTTCAGCTGTGTAATTTAAAGAGATTTTATGATTAATTAAAATTGTTAAGCTTTTTTTGTAAGATAATAAAGCTCAATTACACTGTCGAGACAATATACGACTATATATACTTACAAATCTTTTAGGTTTCTTAGATTTTTAAATACTAGGTTTTCAATGGAAGTAAGTTGATTATTTCCTAAATTACTAAGAATTACTGTTAATAATGTATTTTTGGAAGTTGGAATAAGTTATTATTATTCAATTAAGTATTCGCTTCCCGTTAGTAATTAAAAACAACAGTCTACTTACAGGGAAGCTAAATTACTCAACGCAGAGAAAAGAGATGATCCAATAAAGTTAATCCTGTTATTGTAAAGATCTCTATATTTAACAATGAGATTTTGACCATTTCATGATAATGATAATTTTATTTATATAAGAATAACTTATAATAACTAAAAAGTAAATAATAAAAGAAAGGCAAAGGCCTTAAAAGTAAAAAAAGCTACCAAAAAGTCATAAAAAGCTAAACAATTACGTTGTAATTTAAAAGCACTAAACAACAATTAAATTAAAGTTGTTACCGCTCTTAATATCGAAATGTTAAAAAAATTAATAAATAAATAATTACAAGATTTTAAGCCTTTTAAGGCCGCTAAAGGAGTTAGCCTCTATTAACTTAATTTGATTGACGTGTAAGCTCCTTGAAAAATAAGAATCTGTCAGTTAATTGTTTTCTATAACGTATAACACTCTTTTATTCCTGTAAAACCTTCTTGGATAAAATAGTAAAGAAAAAAAGAAGATAGAAAATTTATTTGTTAAAGTTAATAACTTTTCGTTGCATTAACTTTTTATAAAAATATTAAAAACCATATGTTCTTTTTTAGCGCATTAACCTTCACTATGATTTTAAACTTTTATTAATCAAATATACAAGTTAAAGACCATTTTAATTAATTGTTCTTTATATTAGATTTTTATATATATTATTAAAGATTAATGCAACAATTTAACGTTAATTATAAACGTAAATGGAAGAAGACTAATAGTAATATACAATGTGCTGAAATAACTTACAGGGCTCTAAGGTTCTTCAGGCCTTTAAATAAGTTTTCGTCAATAGAAGTGAGCTCATTGTAACCTAGATTTCTTTAATATATATTTTTTATAAGCATATAGTACCTTTGAATTGTAAAATTTGCTAATTAGGGTTTGACATGAAAACTCTGCTCAAACTGGTAAAATATGACTCAAACAAGTTTAAGAATATATAGTAAAGTTTTTTAAAGTTTCTTATTTGAAGAGCATTTGTTAATGACTAAATTTATGCCGTGCTAACATCTTTAATAAGGGCAGGACAGATTACTAGCATTAATGTGGCACATAAGACTAAATACTTATTTCATTTGCATGAATTTATAATATTTTTATTCTATGTACAGATTTGTTTATATGTTAGTGAATTTTCTGGAGCTCGATTAAATTAACAAAACTCTAACCGGAAATAATCTCATTTCCATATCCGGCTGTTTAGTGGCACATGCACATGCCTTTAGTCTAGGTAAAGGAACCATAAAGTTTACTTAGTTCCTCTTTTTATAAACATACTTTATAAAAGAACTTTAAAAGTTTTAGTAAAACTTACAACTTACATATTAGTTAGTAAGGTAAGTCCCTTGAATGCGCTTTCTCTTAGATAAGTAATTTTACTTTCGGTAATTACTCTGTCAAAGCATAACTAAGTTGGTTCAACATTATTCGAACCTCATACAGAAGGGCTTACAAGGAGCGTATGCTAGAGGGTAGTCTCTTACCAAGAGGAGGAAACGTAAAGAAAAAACAGTACGATCTGCGCCTTGATTTATAAAATTGGTACTACTATAAACTTTCTTTATTACTAAAAGAATATTATTATAAGGTTCTCTCTAGAGCAGTTATAAGTATTGTTGAACTAAAGTATGTCAATAAGTTAATTTAAAAGAGCGGGATAACCTTTAACCTTTTTTCATATTAATATAATTCTACATGTGTGTGTTCCTATAAAGCCTCCATATATAAAAGAAATTAAATTACGTTGATAAGCCAGTAAAAGGGTCGTCACAGTCATACTGAAGAGAGACAACCCTGAGTACTATTAGTGCCCTAAAGAAAAGGGATAGTAGTAAGCACATAGTAACACCAAGAGAGCTTCAAAGTATAGAGTGACAGTAAAAACAAGAGCTTGACGGAGCCTGCCGAGTATAAATAGCTTAATAAAACTTTTTTTTATTAATCAAATTGATGACCAATCAATATTAAATAACTTTAACTTTTCTTATTACCTCGTAAAATAAGCATCGAAATCCTTATTTGAAAATAATTAACAACATATTTGAAATATATCTAACCAGTTAATTTAATAATAATGCTTTTTTTCTAAAATCTACCAATGGGGATATCAAATAGGATAATAATTATATTTGTAATTTTTTTTTAAGACATGTTTAGTAAACGTAGCTAGTGGTAGTTTTTAGCAGCGATATTCTAGCGCTAGCAGTTTTTATTTTCTTAAGTAACTTAATTCGACGCAGTACATAATGTTATATTCTGTATAGAAGACAAGTACTTTAAAATTTTACAAAAATTAGGCTGTTATTAATAATAGAAACATAAATTTAAAATATTTTACAAACTAAAAAAATCTTTTCTTCGAAATTACTAACAGTTGCAAAAAAAGTTGAATAGGTAATAGTCAACCAATTAATATAAGAGAAATGATACTCTTTTATTATATAATATACCCATACATTTTTCTATTCTTCGTAAATTTTAAAAACTAATTAAACTAGTAAGCGAATCTAATGATAATATATTATATATATTGACTTAGATTTATTCACACTTGGTTAGAGGTACAAGCTTACTTTTTTGTAGGGAAATAAAGTGTTTAAAAAGGTACAAGCATATCCATTAGAGTTGCTTTTTTAGATCAATGAGATCCTTTATATAAACTGTCTTTTTGTTGAATCAGAGCTCTTAATTTATAAGATTAACGAATTATCCCAAAATATTATATTTCTAAATATAATTTTTAACAAATAAAAATACAAATTAAACTCAAAATAAGCACCTAAGAATACTGACAACTAAACTTAATTCTTTTTCGTTCAAAGGAACAATTTTCTATAAGATTAATATTAATTTTACCTTTATTTAGGAAGTCAACCAACAAAGTCTTTTACCTGGATATTACCAATCGTTATACATCATTCGTCAAGAGGGAATTGCAAAAGTAATGATAACTAAGACTTATAAACTTTAAATTTCTCGTTAAGCAAAGGATATTATATTTTGGCCCCAGAATTTATAGTTTATAAAGTAACTGTTCGTTAAAGCTATACAATATATATGGCTCTATATAAATGATATATATTTTTATGGAGACGATGAGCATAAAATACTAAATATACGACTGATATACAACGAAGGTAATTTTTATTTACAAAGAACTTTCCCAGAATTTAATGTACTACCGAAAAGGCCACTTACATTAAATTTATCTAGATAAGGAAAGCTCACTATATCATAAATTTTCAGGAGATTTTTAACAGTCTAGTACAACTTAAATATTGCTTACATAAGAGTACCAAGTTGAACTTTTTTAAGCATTAATAACTCTCCATACATTCCATAATTGTACAATTATAAGAAACAAATTTTTTTAGGAGAGCTTTACTTAATTCATATAGAAGTAATAATTCATATAATGATATAATAAGAACTTTTTGCCTCAAGCTAGGGTGGTAGCAAAATAATTAGTTATTACTATTTATACCAATATGGCACATGCATTTGAGAGCAGGTTATATGAATTAAAATTTTTGAAAACTAATGTATTTAAATGGGACATAAAAGTATTATAAATATTTATAATTATTTTTAAAATGAACGGATGAGTTACCGGTTTTAATATTTAAAAGTTTAAGCTTTTGGCTTAATGATTATCCTTTGCTTATATATCAATTGAGGATATTAAAAACGATTAATTAAAGTTATATAAACCTTAAGAGTTTCTATTTTGATTTACTTCTAATTAAGATTTCACTATATTATTTAAAAAACTGATTATATCGACTTTTAAAGTGAACTGTAAGTAAATATTGCTTTAGCACCTACGTTCAACTTTTAAAAAAAATAAACTAAAAGAATTTTTTGTAATTGTAACGTACTTTATATAACCTTAAACAAGTTTAAAATAGGAAAAAAATCTTATAAAACAGTTACAAAAAATAGGCTTAATAATTAAAGTTTTATAATACGGAATAATCATTTAGCATGAAGTGCCATGTTTTACTAAAGTTGTTAGAACGAAGCTAAACTAATAAAAACGTTAAAAAAGGGAATTTGTTTTCATCAATCGAAATCTTATTGAATTTTAAAAAGTTTTTATTTAGAGAGAATATAACCTTAGATAAAATAATATAATGCAGCGAAAGGACAATTTGTAATTTCTTGGCTATTACCGTATGGGGACGCTTTAGTTGCCAGTAATAATCCTCACATTACAAATATAAAGAATTGGACACAGGCCTCGAACCGAAACCCTGGCGGCATGGTGGCTCTACAGGACGGGGGCTAAGTTGAGGGTATATTAGCTAGTGTGGCTCCAGCACTACCTATTCGGGGTGGATCTTAGGGCCTACTTGGAGGGCTTCTCAAGGTTTTAAACGGTGTTGCCGAATTGGAAAATCAACTCTACTACGGCAGCCGGGAGGGTTTTAACCTCCCATTGCGAATAAAAAAATGTATATCAGGGGCTTTTTCAGGTTATCCTAGGTTAGCTAACGCTAACCTAGGAGTTTGAGGGTTTAAATCTTTCACAAAAAATATCATAGCGGCCTTATTCCTAGCTTTATAAATATATGGCTTGTTATTCGACTTCTGCGCAGAAAAGGTTATTCTCCAAGATTTCACCATTATGTAATTCGACTCTTATATAGCCTACAAATCTATCTACTTTAAAAAGTTATTTTTCCAATTTTTAAAGAACTCACTTAAATTTTTACCACTCAATATCTCTTAGACTCAATCAAACTAAATATCAGGAATTTATTTATGTTATAGATAATTCAAGGTTTAACTTTAAGGTTTAAGAAAACTATGCTAATATGTTTCATATGTCAAGTTTACGATTGAGAATATCTACTATGTAAATAAATATATTTCGAAAAAATAAAATAAAAAATTTACGCAATAGAACTGTTATTATTTTACGTTATAGCTAAACTTCTGTAAGTTGTATCTTATTTATAAATAGAAAAAAAAGTTACTATTTTTTTTTTTTGGAGTGTAACTTGGTTGTAAGGTGAACAAATAAATTTTAAATACAATAATACCTTAAGAAACTTAAGAAAAACTGGATTTTGTAAGTAGTAAATTTGTCTTATCAGGTTTAAAAAGTTATAATTTTTAATGCCTTAGGAGTATCGCACTTTACGAGTAATTATTGTATTTTGTGGGCTACACCACTACCTACAGTTACTTTTTTTACGTGAACCCCTTTAAAGGTGTAGCTTTAGTCTTTATCTAACATTTAAACTAAATTTTTATAGTTTAAAAAAGGTTTACTTAGAGTATAGTAAGATTTTATTTATGTTAGTTCTAATTATTATTTCCTAACGCTATAATTTCAGAATTATTAGATTCTGAAAGGTTCCGCTGTTTTTTTTATGCTAGATAACCAGGTAACTTAAGAAACCCAAAGTAAATCTAAGACATGAAATAAAGATATTTATTCTAAATCTTTCATACTACTAATTATAGAATACTAAAAGAAAACTCTGTGAATCGGTTTACATGGTTGCAAAATCAACCTTACTAAATTTTATAAATTGACGTATATATAATATTACCTAAAACTTACACTATTTAAAAAAAGAAAGAGTAAATATTTATTTTAAGTAAAAAAGATACATGAACTGACCCTAAACACAATGCCAATTCTACAATTTCATAAACACGTTTCAACTATAATCCGTAGAATAGAAACAGGACTCAGGACTTGGAGGTAGAAACAAATGTAACTTTAAAAGAAAACAAGCGATAGGCGCTTTATTGGTCGCATGTAACATAATAATATCCAATGAAAATAGGGGCGCATGCTATATTCACGCACTTGTCAGAACTTAGAAATTTTCTTTATTTAACAAATTAGTTTTAGCGGTGCTTTAGGCCCCCTTTTTACCTTGGACCTGAACTGTAGTATGACAACTTTGTAGGAGGGGCTTTTAGCGCTGTATAAGTGCTTCCTATTTTCTACAAGCTGTTCTTTATTAAACAAAAGAAAAACTTGCAAGTTTAGATTTAAAATTTTTACTTTGGAATAAAAAAAAGACTTTCTACCATCTTGGATATTTTAAGTAAGGTTTTTTTTCGCTATTGTCGTTTAAAACATGCCCGTTGAAAAAAAAAAAGTTTAATACGCCTTTAGGATTTATTTGTATTAGTAAACATTGCTAAGTAGACAAAGTCAAGAAAAGCGTTTTTTAACTAAATTAGATAATGCCCGAGATTTCAGAGGCCGTCAGTTATTTAACAATTAAGTGATTATTACAAAGTAGAAATGTTATTGTTTAAATTATCGTAGTAAGGTCTACCATTAAGGAAAAGGGACTTCTACTAACGGATCTTAAGTTTGGTACCGCTGAAGAGCGTTTTAAGGATTTTTGCTCCATAGAGTATCGCTAAGCCACCCTAAGTTAACACTAATTATTAACATTTTTGTAATAAATTTTTTTTGGAAATTTGAAAATATCTAAAAGGCTTCATCACTCTTATTATTTATACGTTCTTAGCGTTAATGAATTTAGGCTTACAAAAAGTATTTGTACCATCTTTCTAACTTCTTGAAAGAAACATTTATCCGACATGTAATGGGGGAATAAGATTTTAAATAGACTTAAAAATTTTCGGACTTAAAAATTGATATTAAATATATACACATCTAAATAGAAGGTGATGCAGTGTTTTTACAGCGCTAAACCTTGATAGAATGATCGAGGCACAACTAAGTATCGTCAAGGTTAATTATAATAACGAACCAACAACGAATGAAAATTTGTAACAGTTACAAACGCCTCGTAAACAATATTTTATTAATTAATTGAAAATAATGCAAAAGTTTCAGATTAGTAGACTTCTTAAAAGTATTATAAGCTTACACTTGTAATTTTATCTGGTTCATTACTATAATTATCGTTTCTAAGTATGCTTTATTTAATCCCCATATATTAGCATAATTTTAAAGACAATAAGGTCTTTTTTACTAATATCATTAATCTTACTGGATTTTATAGACTCCATTGAGGTTATTTCCAAGTTTTTTTTAAACATCTTAAACGGTATAAACCAGTGACTTTAATAATTTACTGGTTTATATCTTTAAAAAAGTCTAGTGTAAATATTCTTAGTAAAAATTCAAATATCCTTTTAATACACAAGAATTCTTATAATCCAAGTAATACCACTTTAGGACCTTTAATGTACCAGGAAGAGATATATATTGTTTCTTTTCATCCTCTGATTGTCCTTACAAAATAAATAGATCTAAAAAGGGTTAAAAGTTGTTCTAGTAAAACTCTAACTTTTAGCTTAATTTTAATACATTCATATGTTTTCTACAGTCATTGAGTTGTTACCAAACAATATAAGTAATGTATCAGCTATATATATTTTTAAACATTATATAAGTGAATATTAATGAAACTCTATAGCTTTATAATTCGTTAAATATATAGATGCTAACACTAAAGCTGGAGTATTACCCAAAGAAAGCACATAGCCTTTGTAATTTTTATAGTTGAAGTTTCATAATCTGGGCCATCTCATTAAAAAAGCTGAACGACCACATATCTAATGAACTAAATTATCATTACTCTAAGGAATTAACTTTAAAAGGTTATTTAAGGGGAAGTCTATTAATAACAGTAGGCCTTACTTTAAGTGTTTATCTTATTAAAGAGCTAAAATCTATGCTTAAATCATAACACTGTATTATAAGGAAAAAAAAAAGTCGGTAACTGCCCGCAGCTCAGAAAGCCTGCAGAAAGCGAGGATGAAAAAAATGAAGACAATGCAATAACTAATGCTTTTTAGCAGACATTCTGTATCTTTAAAGCTTAAGAGTATAAAAGTGTCTTTTCCTTAAGTTTTAGAAGAAATATAAAGTTAACCTTTTAGTTGAGGTTTTGCGTTCGAAACTACAAGCCCTGATAGCATTTTATTTAATCATTAGACTAACAAAAAACAATTTCAAATTAACTACTCCCACAGCCTTAGGGGAGACACAACAATGTATCTATATTACTGTTATAAATGGGAATAAATATATTATATCAGCAATATGTTTTTATTATAAATGAACTTGTTCTTTTCGGTACAAAAAAGTTAACAACTAACTGTTGGGACAAGCTTGTAAAAAAATAAGTTAATTTTCAATAGGAGTTAGCTTTGCAACAATTGACAACTGTTCACCTAAGCAGTCTATAACTTTTTTTGGTAACTATCTGTTAGATTTATTCATACAAATGTTCGGAGGTGAAGTAACAAACAAGGATGTGCGTAAGATATTTTATTATCAAAGCAATACCGTTTGTCAGGTTGCTGAACCTTTAAATATTACATTATCAGCTGTTTTTAAAGTGCTAAAAGCGCTATCAAGAAAAAGGATATATGTTGTTGTAAGAGTTAAAAGTCCAGGTCGCCCTAATATATAGTTTTATCAAGAAATCAACGCTTTCTTATAAAATTGTGTAGAAAAAGGTGACGAGACTCTACGGCGCAGGGTTACGAAGAGTCAAATTAAAACTATCTCGTGAATGTTATAGACAATGGATACACTGGACTAATATAGTTATAAGGTAAGGCATAAAAAATAGGTATATTTTTACACTTTAAAAGTATTATTTTATGGCACGAAGACTAAAAAAAACCACTTCAGCTGAGAACTAACGAAAAATAGATATTAATGAGTGAAATCTAAACTGCAAAAATTATTTTTCGTGGCGGATTAAAATTCGGTGTTTGTGTGGGTGATGTGATTTTCGAAAACTACTTGTTCAGGTCAAAAAATAAAGCTTTCATGCAGACTGCATTAGACGCACCGTAAATTTTCTGGAAGGGATGAAGATCTGGGGCTCTTTGTCAGCAAAAGGCTTGAGTAAGTTTGAGTTTATCGACGGTTTTATAATAGAGTCTTCTTTCGAGTATCAACAAGCTGTATGCTGAGAAAAATTGTGTGTTCCAACAAGCCGAATCCTCCTGTCATACAGTCAAGTCAACACAAAACTAGTTGCCTGAGAAAGGGATTACAATTTTTATCATGGCCTTCCAGTAGCCCAGAGCTCAAAATTATAAAAACATGCTTGCATAAGATGAAGCAGCGACTACGAAAAATAATTTCGGTTTTTAATTTAAAACTGGCAGACCTTTAGCTCTAAGTTTACACCTGAGTTTCGTAAATCTTTAGCAGCGATCATGTCTGCCTGAGTAGCAGCGGTGTCAGGGCGGAGATGTAGCACCACGTGAAACTGGACATTATCGATTTTGTTCCACGAAATATTTGTCAACAATTTTTCGTGTTTTTCGTAATTTATTTAATCTTATTTACTTTGTAGGTCTAATTATTGACTTTTGTTACCTATAATGCGTAGTTCAGTAATAAAACTTTCATATTCTCATTAATTTTATAAATCTTACTGCATCTCTTAAATAATAACACACTAAATGTTAGATAACTTATTTTAAAATTAGGCGTTAGGGCTCGTAAATAATGTCAAAGAATATAAATTTATAGAATACATCAGCATACTTGCTTTTATTAGCGGGAAGAATAATTGCTATAAGCTAATTTTTAGTCAAACTTGCTGCTAGCAAATTTTTAAATTTTGCTAACCTTATTAGTAAAAAAGTTTAGTAGGAAGGTAAAAAGTATAATGTCTGTCAATACTGTTGTATATCACAACGAAAATTAAAACTAGGCAGTCTTTCTGTTCTTTTGTTTATATTATAACAAAAGATCTTTAATTTTTTTAAAAAATAGATTAAGCCAATAAAAACCATAATGGTTCCAAGTTTGTCGAGGGAATTTTTTAGCAGTTTCATGACCTTTCGTATATTTACTTAGCCGTGGAGATAAAAAATTCTCCTGCTTTAATAAAACGAAAAAATGCCGTTGTGTAATGCTTTTGTTATGTGAAGTTTTTTCATGTTTTTTTCCTATTCTATAAAAACTATAGATAATGCTCCTGTTTGCACGGGGTTAGCTCTTGTTATCTCAGTTACATCTTTATATTCTAATTTCCCTCCCCCTTCAGTTACAAACAGTTTAAAGGTACAAATTTGCAAAGTTGCGTGGCCTTCAGCAATTTTAAACTTTTTATATAAAAAGATTATTGTAATTTCTTCACTATTCATATAGAACTGGCCTATACTTTTTGCAAAGAGTACGATATGTTGCTCCTCTCCTCTTTTTCTCGTATTGTATCTATTGTTATTAAATACTTTTGCGTCTTTGGAAAGAGCTTACGGCTCACGCAAGTTCTCAGTAAGTGTTATAAATATAATTTTTTTTAATAATTTTTATTATTTTATTATTTTATTTAAGTCTTTTCTTACCGTTTCTGTTACTGTTGATGCCTTGTTAAAGTGTTTGAGTTTCATTACTTTAAAAATTCCTTGCGGATCGTGGCCCCAAGGACCGTAAGTAGTAAATATTTACAAAGATATAATTTTATTGTTTTCAAATTTTCTAAGAAAACTTATTTTTGTAGACTTATTGTTCATATAAAAGTAAACTTCACCAATATTATTATTAAGAAAACTTTTTTTATAGACTTGCGGTGCATAAAAAAAGTAAATTTTACTTCCAAAAAACCCATTTTTTTTCAAAAGAATTTACTTTAACATTTTATTACTTTTTAGATTCTTTGCTCTGTTTTCTTGCTTTTATTTGTATGCTCGTCACATTCCTGCAAGAAACTTTATTAAAATCTATTCGAAATACACAAACGAAAAAATCATTCCCTTTTCGCTCTGTCTTTTTGTAATTTATAATAATAATAATTTTAAATCTATTTTTTATTTTATTTGCGGACTATATGCTCTGCTAATATATACTTTTGTATATCTTTTCTCTAGTGACAACTAACTTATAAACTTTTTGATAATGTTCAAAATAATTTAATAATTTATTATTGGAATTAATTTAAATGAAAGGAATAATAAATAATTAAATTTATCACATTAACTTTTTTTTACTTTTTTGTAGTTTTTATTTTTTCTTTATATTAATATTGTCAAATTTTATACTTTAAATATATTTAATATTTCTCTTTTTACATTTAATTATAAACAAATTAAATTATAATTTATATATTTATTATATATTATCTTTTTTATACTTTTATAATTAATAATAAATTTTAAATTTTTTAAAATTTATATATAATATTTTTTATAGATTTAATCGTTTTAATTTATATTCATTGAAATTCTTAAAACTTTATCTTTTACTATTTTATTCATATTTTTATTTTCTTTTAATTTATTATAAAGAATTCAACTGTTGTATATTTTACTTTTTTAAATAGATTTTCTAAATTTGATAACTTTGAAATTTAATTTTAATTTTTTAAAAAGAATTAAGTTTAATTATTTTTTTATTTTATTATTATTATTATTTTATAATTTTTTTTATTGTTATAAGTATATTTTCTTTGATTTTATTAATCTTTAATTATAATTTTATCAATAATTTAAATTTTTAAATTTAATTTTTTTTTTACTTCTATGAAATTTCTTTTCTTAATTATATTTTTTAACTTTTTTATATACTTTTTCTATAATAACTTTTTTATAAAAAAACTTGAACCACATTTTGAATTAAGATTTTTCTTCATCAATAAAATATTTTTTTGCAATAAATATTATAAATATGAAGTTTCTATGTTTATTTTATTTTTATAATAATAATAAATATGAAAAGTTTTATTATTTTTTTATACATTTTTATAATTATTCCTATTTAACAAACTTTTTACTATTAAAAAAGCTCTTCTCGTGCTCTTTTCCTTTTGGTCTTATTAACGGCTTTGCAGGATTGTTATTTGGTATTCTTTTCTAGAAACTTTTACTTTTTCTATATGTTTATATAAAAAAGTTTTAAAGAACTGAAAGAGCCGCTGCTGTGCATAATAGTATTATCAATAATAATACTAATAATAACAACAGTAATTATAATAATCAGAATAATAGTAGTGTGTAAAGGCCATGTGCGTGCTCCAAAATTATAATTATTTGTATCCCTTTAATGTTTCTGGTAGGATTTGTTAATTATTAGCACCTAAAGATATTTTTTGTACCCGAAAAACTTTAATTGGGCGTAAATAACCCATTTTACACTAAATTAGACCATATGATTATTTGATACCTTTTTCGGCAGTGGGACCTTTTTGATTTTTTCTACCAAATTAAAGCGACCTTTTTTACTATAACAATTATGTTTCTCAAAATAATATAAACAAATATATATATAAAGTAAAGTATATAAAAATTATATAATAATATACATCTTTACGGTTATTGTTACCAACTTTCTATATAATTATTATTGTATATAAAAATATTACAAACGTTGAATGCAGAGATGTTCGGAAAAGTTTTATTATGATTTTTTTTATTTTCTTGCTCTTTTTTTCTTTTGAAGTTGTATATATCGATAATTACTTTTTTTAATGGTACCTTCGCTCATACTGTACCCAGTCGCCTCGATAAAATATTTGGAAGAGTTTTAAGTAATAATAGTAAAAGTATAAATAAAGTTACTGATAAAAAATATTAAATTTTTATTTATAGAACTACACAATAATAACAAATAAAAACGTAAAATATATGAATAAGAGGTTAAAGTATTAATAGTAATAATAATAAAATATGAAAGTAAAATAATAATAATAAATAATTGTTTTTGTTTATAAACTTTACAATAATAATAAAACTTTAATGCAGGTTATAGAAAAAAATATTATAAAAATTTTGCCGCCGACCCACATTTCTCTCCAACTGACAATTTACTTAAGTTAGCTACCAATTTGGTTATTTTGCGTCAACTTTACAATGTTTCTATATGTTGTCTGGTTCGTTTAAGTATCACTCCGTGGTACTTATTTTGGCTAATTACCAAATATTTACAAACCGATCACAAGGCGCTCTTTCGTATGTATCGGTTATCTCCTGCCCATTCGTGTATATTTTGAAACTAAATAATTTTCTTCTACAAATACCCACGTGATCATGGACATTAAACATATTTAGGATATTATATTTTACATATTAAAATTTCTATTTATATATTTACCCAATAAACTTTAAAACTTACTTAGGTGCGCAGGCTAATTATTATTATTATTATTATTATTATTATTATTATTATTATTATTATTATTATTATTATGATTGTTATTATTGTTATGATTATTATTATTATTTCCCGTTTTACAATAATAAATGCATTTTTGGAAGGCTTTGCAGAGCAGGTCGAATAGGTTTTTCTAGTAAACTTTTCTTAACTACGCATCAAAGTCTCAATAGTGCGGTAGTTTTCTCAACAATGCAGTTATTATTGTTATTATTACTCGCGAGTTTGAAATTAACAAGTAATTTATTCATTATTTTTCTATTTGTATAACCGAAACTTTCGCCTTACAGTTTTATAGCAAAATAAAAGTCTCTGACGCTTATGTACTTATTACCTAACTTCTATACTTTATATATAATGAAAGTAATAAAGTTTATGTCTTTATTTTCTGTCAGTATATATTTTTTTGTTAAGCAAATGTTTACATTAATTATATAAAGTTATATATTTCTTATTTAAAGTATAATATTTTTTTATTTATTAATTCATATTTGCGGGAGCTGTTGATATTTTTAATAATTTTGCTACTTTAGCCAATAAAATTTAACCATTTATACAACGTTTCAATGGATAAAAATTTAATACTTTTCAAAATATTCAATGAATTTTATTAATCAGTAAAACGAGGTTCTTTTAATACTTTTCTGTTGGACTAATGAAAAAGTAATAGAGCTGATAATAAAGTTTCAGTGCATCTAATGAATTCTATCAACTAATATTAATGCGTTTATAAAGCTGTACATGCGTAAATAATTCATTAATATTTATGATTTTGTTATTTGATTTCGCCAATAAAACAGATTTGTAAAGTCCGTAGATGTTCTTGGTTATTATTCTAATTGTTGGAAACTTTTTCAGTACATATTGGAAATACTTTTACTTCTAATAACCTTGAAAGTACATTAGTTCACTAAAATTATATTGATAATACCACTTCCTTATAATTTGGCAAATTTTGGCCAATAAGGATTAGACGTTTTAAACTTTGCTCCGATTGGACTAATTTAAAATATAAATTTTACATACTCGAAACAGCCGAAGCTATTATCATTTTATTTGAATTATAATTGTTTATTTCGATTGGGTACACTACAGTAATAACAAAACACTGCACTTATGAAAGATCTTCACTTTTACTAGTGATTTATATATATTTTGATTGGTATAATTTTTTATAACTATCTGTCATAGTTCAGTATAATAAGCGAAAGGTTTAGCGAATGATATAGTATATCGGCGTAACTTTATAAAGTTAATGAAAATTAAGTTATGTAAATTTAAAAGGAAAAATTATATTTTCTGATTGGTGCACTTTTATAATTGCTGAAGCCTGTAAAAAAATATAAATTTTCTTATTTAAGCAACTTTTAAGTAATTAAAGTTAAGTCAATTACTTTAATTCTGACTGGTTTTACTTGTAATCCTCATTACTATTAATAAACTTTAAATATCAAAAAGCAAGCCCCTCACTATTTTTGTGAAAGTTTAACAATATTTGCTGAATTTCTTTTTATCCACTTAAATACATTAGACGTTAAAAGTTCACTACTTCTACATGTAGATTTTATACCAATAAAATTTCTATAGTTTTTACAATGAAAAATTATTTTTGTTTTTTTAGTTCATTAAAACATATTCTTTTAAGGTTATATTTATTACTCAAATTTTGGAAAGATCGCGGAATTTCGGCTACCCAAACTTATTGCCAATATATTCTCCACATTTCTCACTTTTCTTTCATTTTCTCCTTCTGTGAGTTTATTTTATACTAAAAAATTAAATAGTATTTTTTTACTGTTTATTAATAAAAAGTTTGGAAAGTATGCTTGAATATTACTTTCAAAAAAACATATTTTTTTAATTCTTATAGGAGAAAGAAAATAAGAATGAACAAGTTCAAGAAACCTTGCCAGATGATACCGGTAATTATAACAATCATAATGATATGCTATTTATTACTGTCATTACTTCAGCGAATGAAAACTTATTAAACACCGAGCCGCGTGACACAGGAGAGCCACACACAAGTACGCTTAACTTTAATTCTTTTAAGTTATTATTATTTTCAAGGTAAAAAGATTATATTTTTGATTTACTTTTTTATGTAAAAGTTTTATACTTTATATTACTCTTTGGTTATAATTTAGAAAATTAAATACTTGTTCTATTTTTTAAAGAAATTTCGGAGAAGCTTTTTTTAAAAATAAAAAATATATTTACTAAATATATATATTATTTCTACTTAGAATTATCTGCTCCTTCGGAAGAACTTATTGAAAAGTTAGTTTTGATGGGTAATCATAAATATTATGGCAAACCGAATCGTTTCATATTCTAAAGGTTATGTGTTCTGCCATTGCTTGGCGCAACCTCGCCTTTGTGGAATAGGCGGGTGCAGTTTATGTCTCTTTGTGCCATATAAAAATTTTGTATCAAATTTTTAGTAAGAAAGCAACAAAAAAATTAGTATGTATAAAACAGCCGTGTTACCATGTTAATAGTTATTTGGCAAGTTATGCTTTGGATCAATTCACGTCTTGAATTGTCATTAAAACTTGCCATTAAGTTTTTAGGTTGCCAATATATATAATGAAATAAACTTTTTCGTACCAAATTAAGAAAAGGCCATAACTAGCACTACTTTATTGTAAATTGTAAACAGCCAAATCGGTCTTTTTTTGGTAGTTAACGGGTACATTTTATGCACCATCTTTTTTAGTGGTACCAAATAAAGTCTCTTGCTAAATAGGTACTAATTATTTTAAAAAAAATAATTTCAAATATGCTCATACTTTGGACCAATTATAATAAAGTAAAAGCCCAGTTAATTAATTTGTTAAAGTAAATGCTTTTTCTGGTCCCAATTATAACCATTGGTTCCATTTCATAATAATTTTGCTCCCCACATATTTTTAGCTCTGTAAAACTCGGAGGCTGCCCTTCACTCACGTAAAAGATTAAAAATATTATTTGCTTCCGGTTTTGAAATAGTTTTAAAACTTTTTTGTTTAGCTGTAAATTTTAAATAAAAAAAAAGTATTGCACTTAATACGTTTTAAAATGATACGCTTTGAAATAACTTTATTATTAAGAAGACCTAAAAGTTTATTACAAAAGTTGCTATAGTGCTATAAAAAAAATATAATTTTTTAATATTATTATAAAAGGTTTTAAAAGGGAGGCAGCTATTGAAGCTTTGGAAGATTCGAATAGCAATCTCGAAAGGTTTATCATAATTTTAAAATATTTAAATTATTAAATAAAGAAAGATTTGTAGGGCTTTAGTATATCACCTTTTATATAAAGAAAACCCTCTTATGGATTAATATTTTTACAGAGCCATTAACTTTCTTCTGGATTGAAGTTTCGTTATGAACAATTTTTTATATTCAATAAAAATAAAGCTGTTATTATTCTTTATTATAGCCCTAAAAGCATTTAAGAGATTACAGTTTCACAGTATATAATAAAATATATTTTTCAAAGAATATAATAAGTATATGCGACGAATTAAGTTAAACTCTGATTAACAAAAATTTTAAATTACATATTAATAGCAATAAAACTTTCACAGTAAATATATACTATAGACTTAATAAAAAAAATAATATTTTATAAATATAACATTAAACAATAAATAACAATAATTATAAAATAAAAGTTGGTTTTTTTTATATATAAGAACTATAAAAAAATTCTTTATACGCAAAACTATAAAAATCCACTAGGCTTCATTACAGTATTAACTATTGCATTTAAGATTAACTTCTGTTAAAGATTAAAAAAAGGATTGTACGTGCGCTTCGATTTTAGTGTAAGAATCACTTGAGTTATAAATCCTGTATACTCAAGACAGCAGTTCACTTTGTACAGAGCAAAGATTTTATATTATGCCAGCATTAATTTAATATAAAAATAAATTTGTAGTAAAAAGCAAACTAAAAAGTAAAGTTATAGTCTCTTTCGAATTCAGTGAATTTCATGCGCTTTATATTTTAGTATAGAAAGCAGTTGTTCTATAAGATTTGCGTACTCACAACAGCGATATCACTCAGCAACTTTAGTTCACTTTTCGCGGATTTTTAAATTGTATATTAACAAAAAAGACACTGGTTATTTTATATATCAGCATAAAACAATGTAGAAGCTAGTTACGTACTACATTAAAATCATCGCCACAAAAATTAAATTAAGTTAGGGCAACTTAGATTTTTAGCACAAAATACAACATAAACTGAGTATTCGTAACAGCTAAATAGTTAGCAGCTTAGCTCAATTTTCATGGACTCATGATAACATACGCATATTATAAAAGAAATGCACTTGAATTAATAAGTTTATCTACTCGGTTATATCATATAGCAGCTTTTAACTAAGGGTAATATAATATTTTATTAAAAAAGAAAGGTAAACGTCAAAATTAGAGTCCGGATGACATCGCTCGCAGTAATCATAGTGAAGAGACTTTAAACCTTCTTGAGCACTTTAATTCCCCTTCAATATATAATTAACCACTCAAACATATTAATAATTGAAACAATAATCTTTTTCCGCAACTTTTTATAATTTTCCTATTTTTAAGATGTTTGCTGTATGTAGTTCAGTTAATGAGCTTTAATAATAAAAGACGGATAAATGAACAGCCAACCAGCTAAAAATATACATAGCAGGTATGCACACGCGCAAGAAGTGGGTTATATACCTTGAAACAACGATGCTCGAGAGGTAAACATATGTCTTGGACATTATCTAAAATGGGCACTCTTACTATTAAGAACCCGTGAAGTTGCGGTTATTTGTTAGTTAGGTGTAAGTAGTAAGGCAAAAGCTATTCTAAGCCAAGCTACCACCCAAATTTAAAGAAGATAATGAGAATTTCTAGACTTACTGACAATTTTTATTATCAAACTTAACTTTTAAAGCTTAGCAAGTCTAGCCTTCTGCATTAAGATTTTCTATTATACCGACAAGCGCATGTTCTACTCGCGCGAGCCCTAACAATATAGAAGGAGGGTTGTGCTTACCAAGTTCCGCAACTTGGCTGTTAACAGCATTTAACAGCCAATCGCGCGTAACCAGTTCCTGTTACTTTTGGGCGCATGTTTTCACCTCGAGCACCTAATTTTACTTACCACTTGGAGTTACTAGTGGAAAGTTTATCAATTCTTGTTAATATCTTTAAGTGAGGCGCGTCTATTTTTATATAATCTTGTTCCTTTTTGTTTTCTTCGTTTAATTGGCTAATTTTCTCCCTTTTACGTATATATCATACCGTTTTACCATAATTTTTATTTAAATATCTATTTTCCACTTTGTTATACCTTTATTAACTCACTTGTACCTTTATCGCACTTTAGCATCTTTACAGGAACCTTACCGCTTTTAAGCCATGTCAATTGCTTCACACCAAACTGAGAACCTATCCGGGGTTTCCTTTTACTTAGAGATATTAATGAATTGTGGGCCCCCACCCAATAAATTTCTGCTACATCCCAATATAGTTTATAGCCTCAACTGTTAGCCTCAACCGTTTTAATTATACTTTATAAGCTTACTTTATTTTAGTAAAACTTTTAGGTTAACAAATATAATAGGGGTTTTGTAATATTAACAACGGTGACTTGAGTGACTAGTATCAAGAAATGCCCCTAATGATAAAAGTAACTGCAACTAACCCTATTACATTAATATTAATTTTAAAATTACTTTGTAAAAAATTGGAACTTAGTTTTACCTACTTTTAATTTTAATTAAACTTACGGATCGAATACAAAAGAATTTATTAGTTAAATTTTTACCTTTCATGCTCAAAAATTATAAAATTCGTGCTCTCTTTTAAAAATCAGTTTCTTTATTTTATTTCATTTTCTATTATTAAAAAGCAATCTTTTAGTATTGAAGTTTTAATAATAATTTCGTCTTCTCTCTAAACTTGGATCATAAATAGCACTTGACTAATTATCGGTTAGTCTAGGCAGGAATATATATAAATCCGGGACGTTTTTGCACCTTGACAATTGTAAGTCAAGGAAGTTCAAATATCGCAAAGCTCATTTAATGAGCTCTAAGTATCGATAATCAAGTAACTTATCAGCTAACGCTTCAGAACTGTAATCTTCGTACTCCGATTATAACCATTTTGATTTTTAATATAGTAACCTAGTAAGATTAGAGTTTTGGATGATAAGCCCCCTTTAAAAAGGTCTTCAGTCCTATGCAAAGGATCTTTAATAGTTTAAAAGAAGATCTTCATACGTATATATTCATAAAGACCACAATAAGGAATTTTATATAAAAAAAATTGTAAATACCAAAATAATAAAATAAATAAATAACATCATTAAAATGCAATTAGCTACTAACATGCTTTAACCTTTAAATATTTAAAGGTTTAAAGCTTGACCGAGCACCAGTAGAACTGTTTAAAATCATAAACAATCCTGCCCGGGCAGCGCGGTATATTATAGTGGATGGGCTGTGCTTAATTATCGTTTTAAAAAGTAGGTTACTAAATTTTTTAGTTTATGTAATTATATTATATTTTAATACTCATTGTTATATTGAATTTTCAATATTTAATTTTAATTTATTTATAAATTTTTTTTATAATCTAGATAAAATTATTTGTAAAATAAAAGTAGTCCTTATATTTTTACTATACTTATTAAGTCAAATTATAATGGGAATTTAGCATTAACTCCGAAAATTATGGAACCAGAAAATGTTTTATTGAATGTTTATGATATGCACTGGTCTAACTATTTAACTGACTGGTTGGGCCTCGGTTGTTATCATTCTGCGGTTGAAGTTTATAAGCGAGGCAAAGTTTATCCAGTTATTATGGCACTTAAAGTGCTAAAAAAAAGCTACTTAACAGAATATGCTTTTGGAGGTGGTGACACGCCCAAAACAGGAATATTCGTAACTGCTCCAAGACAACTCGAAAAGGAGATAGAAGAATTAAAATACAAGTTTTCTTAAATAATTGTTTATCATATTTTTTAATTAAAAATTTAAATTGATTTAATTATGTTAATATTATTATTTTATTAGAATGACAATTTTTTTAGGAACTACGACTTTAAGTGAAGATGAAGTGCAGGAGTTAGCCCTAAGTCTCGCTTGCAACTACAGCGCTCGATCTTATCATCTGCTAGAAAAGTTTTTACAAATTATTATACCTAAAAATAAAATCTTTAGTTGGCTCCGCCTCGTCCTTCCCCTTAACGACCACATTAACATAATTTATTTATATTAGGATTTTTAATAATTATAAATTTTTACTTTTGCTTAATAAATAATTTTAAAATTAACAATATGAAAAAATTTAGAGCAAAATTAAGGGAGAGCGGTTTATCGTTTATTAAAATTTCATTTACTAATTTTATTGTTTACATATAAAACTAAATATTTTAATACAAATTTTGCTGGCGCTTTACAAATAACTTCCTATTAGTTTGCTTTAACCTGGAAAATTAAAAAAAAAGGCTTACAAATTTTCGTTTCTATTAAAAAGAAATTGTAATCACTTTTCTGAAGACTTTGCTAAACGCCTCTGCGGCGTCGATATAAATTTTCCTATTTGGGTTAATAAGTTGGCCGCTTACGGTAACTTTAACTCCATATATAAAATATGCTTTGAAATCAATTAATTAAAATTTTAACAGATTTTTCCCTAAATATTCTTAAATTCACTTTTATTTTTAGCTAAAACAGTGCCCTGGCTTATTCCATCCACCCACTTGAATCCTCCGACCTCCCCTCCGCTTCCCGAAAATACTGAAAATGCTTGCGAATCTTATACAAGTGTTAACGGAAAAAATTGAAATTATCTTTTTTTTGGGACAGCTTAGAATATAAATAAAAAAAAATTTTAAAAATTGTTTTGTAAGGTTGCGAAGGTTAAAAAAAAGCAAGCACAGTTTGACTACAGCGGGCTTACTCAGCTCATTATAATTTATGATCCCGTTATGTGCTATAAATTTAGCAACAGTGTAAGCACGTCTTTTATAATATTTTTAAAATCAAGTTCAAATGCCTCACTAAATAGTTGTTACGGGGGTGTGTCCTTGTCTTTACCTAAAAGAGTCTGTTTGCAAGAGAAATATATACTCTTTCACACACTTTAACACGAACCTAATCTTACCTACACCAAGTTTTATTAAAATATGAGGCTTCTGAAAAGGGATTTTTTATTAGTTCTGTTGTTTTCAATAATAGTTAAACCTACGATAAAGATGGTTTAAACTGCAAAAGAAATGTAGCAAAATAGATGGAAACTATAAGAGTTTTTTATTGTGTAATTGCCTTTAGTGCACCTCTGTACTAAATTGTTTGAAGGTGATGTAACATTAGTAAACATGGAATTCCGCAAGGATATTAAAAGTAAATTAACAAATTAAAATTAGAATTGTAAGTATTTATGCACTCGTTCAAACAATGGTTGAGAGCTGTGTTGTCATAACCACGAGGGATACAATTGTTTTTTAATTAGGCTTATTATATAAAAAGAAAAGTTTATAATAACACTGTATTTTTCTTAAAACTTTTAAAGTTTATAATATAAAATATTGGTATACTAACCTCAAATATTGACTACTTTCCTAACAACATTAGTATGCCCGAATAGTCAGAAATATAACAAGCTAGTATGCAGATTCATCATTTAAAGGCTTCAAGTTTTATTTAAAGACAGAGCACTCCATCTTTTAAGTGAAAAAAACGCAATAGCAAAAAGAATTTATGAGGGTAAAAAAAATATTATTTAAAGCTGCTAGTGTAGCTCAATAGTTTTATTTATCTTTTCTTTTTTTTTTTCTAAAACAAATTAAAATTTTTTACAATATAGAGCTTTTTAAAACATGCTGAGAGCACGTGACCAAAAAACTAGCTAGATGACCGACTCGGCCTTTTCATAATAGCATTAAAAAGTTTGGTTATGGTAGGTGTTGTAGCTTTAGTAGTTTTGCAAGCCGAATTACTTAGTTGTATTAATTAGAGATCGTCACTCTTATTCTTTATGAATGGTAAGTTTTTTGTCTTTTGTATTTTATAACATTCTTTTAAAGAAGGATGAAAGCTTCCATGCTGTATTTGAGCAACTGTGCTTTGATAGAGTTTTCTTTCTGACTTTTTATTTATAACAAATACGATTTTAAATATGATTAAACTTCCTTGCTTTTTTTATATTATTAGATCTGTTTATAATTTTCTGCTTAACGAAAAGAATTTTTACTTGGAACGGCTTGTCGCAAGTTCGATCTTCTAAAGAAATATTTTTTAAAAGCTGTTATATTTAATCTGTTTTGGCATCTATATTAAGATCTTATATATAACTCCACTGCCTATGCAAAATTTCATTATTAATAAATAAAGTTATACTGATTTTCTACCTTGTCTTGTTTCCTTTATTGTTTGTATTATCTATAATTTTTTAATAAAATTTAACAATAATAGAGTTTAAGCCAATTTCGTGAGTGTGGGAGTGCAGGTTAGCTGGTTAATAATAGTTATATTGATAAGGCCTATTTAGGGACACTTTTTATAACATGGTAAACGTTAAGATTTTTGTTATTAGTTCTGTAGAGATCTCTTACTATTTAGATTAAGTTATAATTATGTAGAAATCGATTATTAGTAGATTTGATTGAACAAAGGCGTTACGGTTGGCTATCCATACTGCTAAGAAAGACTTTTTATATATACATATAGGGTAAAAATGTGTGGTTAGTAATTGTAAGAGGTATTTAGCTATAAGAATGCCAGATTAACAACAGCGATTTAATAGTTATAAGTAATCTTAATTGTGAGTACGCACCAATTATTATTTTTTAGTGGTTAAACAAGGCTAATTTTTTCTTTACGTACTTTTCTTTTTCGTGACAAGTATTGTCATTAACTATCCCTCTATGGCTCCCCCCGCAAACAACGATCGGGGCGATTTAAAAAAGATACTTAAAACCCAGAGATATTATACTTCCTCTAAAAGACTATTATTATTATTATTATTATTATTATTATTATTATTATTATTTTTGAAACCCTAATAAATTTTACTGCCTCTTTTCTTTTTTTAAAGTTAATGATTTCAGGTCAGCTTAGCGTCCTTTCAGTAAGGTTTGGGTCATTGTTTTGCGTTTTTGCTAATTTTACTTGCTCTGTAGTAGGCTTAACGATGGCCAAAAAAAACTATGGCTTTTTCGGGTGCTAGAGAAGCTTAATATTAAAGGTGCACATTTTTTGATGACATTTATAAGAATTTATTTTTCTTATAAATTTGGTTTATACCCTTTTATAACAATCTAGTTGGTGAGTTCTTAAACTTGCTCTACAAGGTAACCGGATCAAATAAAAAAATTAATCTAGAAAATTTAAAAATCTAATAACTAATATCAATAATATTATTATCCTTAATGAATTAAATTCTTTTCAATTTAGCTTATTCTTCAAATTTTATGAATTTAAAATTATAAAAGATCTTTAATTTTAACAGAACGCTTTACAGCGTTAGTAAATCCTTGAAAGTACTGGTAGGAAACCCGCTGAGGATGCAGTGATGCTGTAGTTGTGCTTTCTAAGAAAATTATTAGACAAGCAAAGGCACCGATGTCCAAAATTTGTTTTTAAAAAATAAAGAAACTACTACTAGTTGCAATTGGATTGCTGGCAGGTCTCCCAAAATAATCCAAACTTTCTTTCATTTCTTTCGGCACTTTAAGGTTATCGCCTCGCTTTTCAGTGTTAATTTTATACTCCTTTATAATAAATCTAATAAAATAAAAAATTTTCAAGTGTTTTTGCGAATCATCGCCACTGGTGCCTACCCGGCTTTTGTTTTGTTAAGCTTTTGGCTTGCAGCCTGCTGAGAAATGCGCTCCTTAACGGAATCGGTCAGCCGTCTACGCGGAGGGCCACCCACAGGAAAGGATGTGAGTACTTCCAGATCTCTAATTAGCCCGTACAAAATTAAGAAAAAGCGCTGAACGGGGCGTAAAAGGAGAGGAACGCAACGGTTGCAAAGCGCAGGTGAAAGCGCCATCCATGTGGACCGGTACAAACTCAATGTTGTAGTGGCAAAGCAGCTCTGCTACTCGCGAAAAGGCATTTTTCTCAGACAAACTTAATAACTCGCAGCTTAACTGGAGAAAAAAAAATCAAGAGACAAGGAGGAACGTGTGGATGGCTATAAGGCAAACAGGCCGAATGTGTGGATTCAAAATCTGCACAAGAAAAGGGCAAAGTTCCAGCACGAACGTCTTATTAGGGACAAAAGCGCGAAGAGTGCTTCTGGCTTGTAAAAGTAAACTGTACAGGTCGTCGTGTTTTTTGTTCATCTAGAAAACCACGTGACAATGTTGGAGCTGCGCTACCCCTTACGAGTACTAACGCACCTCGTAAAAAGATGCAGGAAAATTTAATCTCGGCCGGCCGTGCGCGCTGCAGTAGAGATGGAATGCTAAACGTTAGAAAAAACACGGCCACTTCCAACGTCACGCCGACTGCTTGATTTACTGTAACAACCAAAACACGGAAAGACGAGGAATTTCATAAGAGAAAAGTCCGATTTCCGGGTCGCTTGAGCTTCCAGAATATCATAAAAAGCGACCCATTCCAACACGTGGTTGATCCTACGACACGCTCTCCTTAGCGAAAAAGGGAAATATAATATTAATAGCAGGCGAACTTGGAAAAGCTCGGATCAGAAAAATTCACCGTCAAGTAGTTTTCAAAGCAGCCTGGCTTGTAGTAATAAGCAGCGCTAAAAGATTTACGAAAAAAAAATCTCACCTAGAAAGATTCTTTCGTGATCGTGAAGATTTTCAATAACGCTTTGTACGGCAGAAACTGCCGTGATATCGGGAGCACCACCGCGCTCCTTGCCTTAAAAAAAATAATTATTTAATTATACAGATGATTCTACTTCCAAAAATTTACTTACGGAAAATTTTTTCCCAAATTTCAAAAAGGGAAAGTCGGTGGTCCCTCTGGCCGAAACACACGCTACTGAGCATCTCCGAATTAAAAACTTTGCCTTTTTTCTTAAGCATCTACAGGAAGCAGGTTAATAAGAGCACCAAAAGGATAAAAAAACGATCACTTGTAAAGTATTTAAGCAAAAGCGAAGATCATAGTTGGCCAACTTGCAAAGTTTGGCTAAAGCTTGAGGCTCAGCTCTGATACGCTCCCTGGCGCATATGAAACGCAGACGGCTCTCAAGTCGTAGTCCTCTAAAAAAAAAAAAGAATCCAAGTTAAATTTTTTTAAAAAAGTTAAGATGAAAAAGCCACGTGGGAATTTTCATAACGAGGATGTGCGCAATCGGTCGCAACGGCCTCAAAGATGGCGAAAATCTTAAAAAAAAGATCTTTTGGGTGTCCATTCTGAAAAGCCGTATAAAATTTACAAATCATTGCAAACGCAAAGTATTGGTCGAAGCAGTTTGCTTTCTTTTTCTGCCATTTGGAATTTAATATAATTTACAAAGCACAATTACAGCGAAATACTTTTGTTAGAGGAAATTATTTGAATCAAAGTGTAGATGGATTGCTGTTTGAATTCACTATAATAATGGTGAAAACGACTATAAGAAAAGTATATAAGCACGGGATGAGCGCCATCAATTTCATCCAGAATAAGGCAAACTGGCTTTTTCGTGTCCACTGCGGAGTTAGTTTCGGTGATGGCTTTGATTCGGCTCTTGAAAATTTCAGGGCTTCGATCATCACTAGTACTCAGAAAGAGGTGAAGTGCCACGTCTTTTCGGTAGCACTAACGAAAAACACTGCTGACCTCGAGTTAATTTCAACCACGTGGTAACCGCAATGCTTCGCTGCTATATGCGTCAGCGTGGTTTTGCCAAGACCGGGCGGCCCACACAGCAAAAGGATCTGAATTTTGCAAGAAATCAAAAATTTTAATAATAAAAGCTAATGAATTAAAAATATTTTTATATAAAAGTTTTTGAGAATTTAACAAAGTTATAATAGACGAGAACACTCCTTAATGTAAATTTACTCGAACTATACTTTTTTAAACGGGCGGCAGAGAGGATCGGGCTGGGTTGTAGAAGGCCCAAGGATCTTTTTTCTTTCCCATTCCAGCTCAGCTCCGACGGATTTAACTTCCTTGCGGAACACACACTGATCCCACTGCTTGAGCCAAAGCAGTAACTCGCGGTTGACCGACTGTTAAAAAAATACGGATTAAATTTTTAATCGAGCTAAGCAGGCTGCCCACCTCATCACTTATTAAGTGCGTGTAACGGGTTGGCGCGTATTTCGCAACCCATAAATGTTGGCCTCCTTAAAATTATTGAAGAAAATTATATTATAAAAGACACCAATCAAGAAACCCTTTTTAGGGGGCTTTAAAGATTGATCTCTAATAGTTGCTGGAAAGGAATTCAAGAGATAATCCTTAACAATATTCATTATAATCAAGTAAGAATGAGTTATATATCTCAAGATGGCATATACCTTTTCGATTTCTTCTCTGAGATCAGCAAAAGAATGCGAAAGTAAACTTCCTTAAATTAAATAAAACTTTCTCAGTTATGAACAAAATAAAAATAAAAAAATTATTGCCAGCAGAAATAAATCGGCGATGCCTCCCGCGCTCGTCATTAAAATTCTTTACCCTCAGATACACTCGACGACCATTCTGAGCTGTAACGGTTATGGAATCGCCATCTGGCTTTAGCTTACAGTGTAGAAACTAAAGTTTGGCCCACATAACACGATATAGTAAAAAAAGTTACTCTATATATAAACTTGAAATTAGAAGAGCCAGCAGATAATGTTGATTCTTCAAAGTTACCCACGACTGATTCTGAGACACATTTTGATTCGATAGAAAAATTAAAGTTATTTGAAATTTTTACAGTGGAAATATTTACAGACTGAACTTTAGGATCAGAAACTTTATCTTTATAAGATTTATAAGGAAAAAGTTAGAAGAGTTAAGTAAAAGAATAAATTTGAAAACGCACCGCATAAAACATTTTCTAAACGATCACTACTAAGTAGTTTACAATTTGAAAGAGATTCTTTACATTCTTTCATAAACGGAGATTTGTTTAATTTGGCTTCCTTTTTTAACGGAGAAAAAATCTCAAAGTGAAGTTTACGCTTGACTGGCGTTTTATCAACGAAAAAATCTATCAAACTCTTTAATAATAACTTAAAAAGAAAAGATGATTTATGAAAACCTTCTTCCATAAAATCATCCCAAGTATCCCTCAAGGGCTCTACCATTATATAAACAGTCTTTTCTTAGCCAAAATAAAAAATAACTACACCAGAAATTTAAAAAGAATAAGCATTAGCATTTCGTTATGTTCTAATCCCCATCACTAGTAGTTCCGATGTGAGTTTTTCCCACTGGACGACATCATTAAAGTGATCGTGAAGCAAGTGACCTTTACTTTGACCCCCAACTTTTTTCCGTTGTGATGGAAAAACGACTTCTGTTGTAATGTTCCCGAAGACGCAGCAGACCCTACGCCAAACAATTACAGGTATAGGCCTCTCAAATTTATACTAAACCGATTGAAATCGTCTGTTTACAAAAGTCATGTCCTGAGTTCCAACAGATTTTAACAAGGTTTTCAGCTACGCAACACTTTCCCCCTGACAGAATGGACGGCTCCTGCTTTAGATTATAAAAAAGCAACGGGCGCCGTCTTTTTGGATGTTAAATAAAGTGTTGAGCGAGTTGAGCGCAAGGGCTTGCTTTACAAATTAGACGCCATAGCCTTCCCTCTTGTTCTTTTCAACGTATAATATGTAAAGCTATCTTACCTAAAGTAATAGTCCTCGTAGCTTAATAGTTAAGAGGTTTGCAAGAGATTAAATATGTAAGTGCGAGAGTTGTTATCCTACACCACCTATAGTTTGCGCGTTTAATGCTTTTAGCTAGGACTACATTTTTTAATCCAGGTATGACGGATTTACGTATTTTACCAGAATTTATGAGGACGACGTTAAGAATGCAACCTTCAAAAGACTGAAAAAGAGAGTCGCGTTGGTGGGAATCGAGGCCACAACCTTAAGTTTGCGCGTTCAATGCGAGCTAGGACAACTACTCTCAACCCGGCATGAAAGATTTATATATCTGACCTATTTTAAATTTTACTTTAAGGACCTTATATAAAATACACAAATGGAAAATACATACTCCCCAAAGAAATACTAATTACCGGAGCCCCACAAAACTCTTTACTATCATCCTTCCTATTTGACTTTATGTGCTTCTTTTGATTCGTTAACTTACCTTTCGTTAATGATGCCTGCCATCTTGCGTCAGAGTTCAGCAGTGTTACCTAGTGACGTTTGCCAGCTGGTGTCATTGTTAAATTATTACTTAACGCAAATAATTAGCCCTTTTACACATTGCACCATTACTACCGCTGACTTATGAAGAGGGAGTAATCCCAGGGTCCCTAGGGAGGGTATTCGGGGTTCATCATCAACAATAAGCTGTCATGGCGCCCGCTTTAAATCTCTATCCTTTACTTCGTGCGAAAAGTAAGCTCTCATTGCGCAATAAGTAAGGTTTATGTGTATTGTATCCGGCCAATCTTGACGAACGCGCTGTAGTTACACTGAAACGATGTTTTACATTAAGATTACCAGCTTAAACCCCTGTCTATCGTTTCAGACGTAATGGTATCCTACGAACGGGTTGTTCACAAACCAATCCATCACTGGCAGAACGACCCATTACGAACCGTGGAAGGGAACCCGCTATTGAAGTACGTGCAATGTAGTTTAGCTTTTTGCTGTATTATAGTAAAGCCTAGCTTTAGAGGTTATGAATATGTATGTGAATATATAAGAAATTGTTTTGGTTCAAGATTAAATTTATTTTGTACGCTATCATTCTGTTGAGAGCTCGTTAAGTTGGTGTTTTTCGACCCCATCGAGCACAGGAAATACCATTATAAGTATATAAATTAATGAAAACCAAAAATCGGTATTTAATAAAAGTTAAGTATGTACAGAACAAGTTAACAGAGAGATGCACAACAAAAAATAAAGCATGACTGCTACTTCATTAGAAAGGTGGCCATATATATTAAGCCCGGAATAAATAAATTTTAAATTTCCTTGAGGGAGAAAAGCGACTAATATATAAGCCGAGTACGATAATTGCGTTAAAAATTTTTAATCTTTTGATTGTAAACAAAATTGTTTTACATTTATAATCTTCATAAGAAGAAACGCTAAGTCTGATCGCTATATACTATTAGGCAAGCTCATTTGGTAAACCATAAAGCCAAAGTTTAATTAAACTTTTTCAGAGTAGTACTGGCTTTTATTGGCCAATTTTACTTTGTTCATGTTCCACAAAAGTTTCGGCTGTTATTACTAAGTTCACCGTTAAATACGTTTATTAAGCTTCTTGCCTTTACTCGTAAAAGTCAAGCTAATTGTATGTCGTTCATAACCCTTTGAAAGGGTTAAACGTATTATTAAACAAAATTAGGTAACACATTTCGATAGTGGTGTTAAAAAGTCCTTATAGCCTGGCGGCTCAAAACAATATAATTTAGAAACATGACTCTGCAAAATATTTTTAAATCCTTTAAAAGCATCTTAGATCCCTTAAATAGTATGAAGTCTTTAAACAATAGGTGTTATATATACTATTATAATAGTTAACGTTATTTACAATTTATAAGTTTTAAGTTTTGTATAGGTAATCAAGCTTGTGATTTAGATTCGGTTGCCTCCACATTAGCCTACGCTCTTCACTTACACACCATAAAATCAGCTTTAGAAAACGAATTAGTTATTTTTCCTTTATTTTGCATTCCTAGAGAAGATTTTTCTTTGAGAACTGACGTTGTTTATTTGTTTAAAATTCTTAAATTTAGTGTCGGTAACTAATTTTATAATAAATAATTATATGTTACGTTTATTCTGTTTCATTTAATTATAGATGACTTCATTTTTTTGGACGACATTAGTTGTGACTTTGTTAAGCAATATGTACATGAAAACCGTGTTTTTCTCTCTTTACTTGATCATAACGTCCTCTCTCCTACTGAAGAACGGGTTTAATTTTTCTTTATTTATATTTAAACTTTTATAATCTTTTTTAAGATTTTCAGAAATTGTGCTGTTCAAGAAATAATTGACCATCATGTAGATGAAAAGTTATATACTGTTTCTTCACGGTTTCGTGTTATTGAGGCGGTCGGCTCTTGCGCTACACTTGTTACAAGAGAAATTTTAATTAATAATTCGGTAAGCTATGCCATATATAACAGATCTGCACCAATTTCTTACATCATTTTATAGATTATTTTTAAAAGTTATAATAAAACACCTGCCGTTGCCAGCAATTATTTTTAGATTATCCTGAAATTTCAATTCTTTTGTATTCGGCCATCCTACTGGACACGTTAAATTTAAGTTTTGCTAAAGGAAAATCTACCAAAGAAGATCTTCTTATGGTTGAAGCTCTTGAAAATTTACTTTTTAGTACTTCCTTGCGTCAAGGTATTGTAACGATTATACTTTATGAAAAAAAAATTTCTTTAAATCAAGCAAATAATATATTTAGATTTTTTTGTTGAGGAGTTTCAACCATCGCGTTCTGCTATATATAATAAGTTATTATCGCTTCGAAGAGACATAAAAAGTTTAAAAATCCACGACCTGCTAAAAAAAGATTACAAAGAACTAAGCTTGCCGCACATTTTAATTGGTTTTAGGTAACTACAAAATTAAAAAAAAATAAATTTCAAAGTAAAAAGTTATTATAGTTTGTTTGTTAGCAGATTGTACAAGTTAAAGAAAAGTATAGCTGCCAAGCTATTTCAAATATTTAAAGTAATTTTATTTTAAAAAAAAAATTAAATTCAAAAAGTTGTGAGTTTTTAAAATTGGTTGGTAGCCTGTAAAAGTTAAAGAGAGGCACTGCTACTAAGCAAGTTTTAAAAAATCTTAAGAACTTTAAAATAGAAAGTGATGTATTATTATATGTTAATAAGTAGCATATAGAGTTGCTAATAAATATTGCTACTAAGCAGATGTAAATTGAGTTAGGTAACTACACTGAAAAAAATCTACTTTAAAATTGAAAATTTATTAATTATCTGGTTAGTAGTTTATAGAAGTTGAAAAAAGATATTGCTATTAAGTAATTTTTAAAGGTTTTAGGTACTAAAAAGTCTATAAATCATAGTTAAGTGGAGGTTGAGTATAATTAGCTTAATCTCAATGGTTTTAAAAACTAAGAAAAATTTAAAAAAATTAAAGTAGGGTTAAAAGTTAACTTAAATTATCTGATAGTAAAATTTTTATAAAACTCTTAAAGTATTGAGTTAAAAGGCTGCCTGCCCTTAGTAGGTAAGCTAGCTAAACTTTGGTTTAATTAATTTATTTATGAATTATAACTCTAAACACTTCTCGCACGGCGACTCTTTTGGGAGTCACAGGCGCATATTGAAGAAGTCAAGGCATATTTTAAAAAAAAAAAAAATTTTTTTTTAGAAAAATGTGTACTTTTGCA